AGAGAGAGAGAGAGAGAGAGAGAGAGAGAGAGAGAGAGAGAGAGAGAGAGAGAGAGAGAGAGAGAGAGATGGTGACAACATTGATATGGTCAGCATGGGAGACGGTCTGTTCAAGAGCTGTGGAGAGCCTTTTTGACACGGCTGTGCAGTATTACCAAGCTGCTGACGAGTTCAAGGATGAATGGAAGTCCATTCAGGATGAGCTAGAGATTGTTCACGCCCTATCAAGGGTGGTGAACGAGGTTATTGGACCGCAGACGACTGGGGAGGGTGTTGAAGAGGTCGGGAAGCTTGAGGCGCTCCACAAGACCGCCTTGCAATCCATGGAGGATGCTTTTCAGGCCACTCAGAGTTATTCAAGCTTCTTTTTGTGGCCTTCGCAATTGCAAAAGATAAAAAAAACCCAGGAGGATGTCCGTGCCTTTATAGGTCTCGCTTCCCCACTCATTATAGCTGTTCTGCAGAAAGCTCATCACAACGCAGTGATGGATCGTTTGACGATTCTGGACGACGCCCTTAATCAACTGAAGCAGCAATTGCTGGTCAAAGATTCCTCTGTTAGCTCACCAACCGGAAAGAAGGTCCTGAATTGGCTCAGAGATAGCTTCCCCAAATCACCATATGTATCGGTAAGCAGCTCAACAATCTCAGTCAGTGTTATTTTCCTTGCCTCAGAATTAGGCACCGCTCCACTACTCACACCAAATGTGCGAAATGAGAATGAATCTTCCAGTACAACATGGAAAGATACGCCGCCATATTTTTCGCCTTTTGTGCATGTGGTGAGTCGTGGCACAATCCCCATTCAGATTCATTTACTGATCTCCCACCACCAGTATTAAAAAAAAAAAAAAAAAAGGAAAAAAAAAAAAAAAGGTACATGGCACCAGGCAACTCCAGAAAATGAGAGGCTTTCTCAAATGGCGGATGGCGCCAGCCAAAAAACAAAAGGGGAAAAAACTTCAAAAAAGGGTGTCCTGCAGCAGTTCTGCAAAGCTTGGCCTTGGCCTGCAGTGTAAATCCGCCAGGCTTGGTTCACTGTCACCCTTTTTTTTTGGAAAAACGTTTAGAAAACCCACCCTCGGTGCACGCCCAAGGGAATTCCCCTCCCCACTCGCTGCCCCCTCCACCCACTGGCCCGAAAAAGAAAAAGAGAATTTCCAGTCTATGTGCATGGGTGTCTCCCGCATGTGTGTGCACATTCTGTCTTTTGCGATGACTGCATCTACATTCCTTGTATGTGTTTGTCGACCTGTGTGTCTGCCTGCCTGTCTGTGAGCTCTTCTGCAGTGCATCCGTCTGTGTCCATCTGTTTTTTTCATTTCGCTCGTCGCCTCTTCCACCCGTCCACCCGTCCACCCGTCCACCCGTCCACCCGTCCATCGTCTGTTTGGCTCGATGTCTCAGACTGGCTGTTCGCCGTCCGTACGTCTGTGCGCCTGTCCGTTTGTGTGTCGCTCTTTTGCTGTGCACCTGTCCGTCTGTCTGTATGCACGTTGTCTTGTCGGTACGTTTGTAGGCTCTCGCCCCTTCGATCCGTCCATCCGTCTGTTTGTCTGTCTGTCTCGCTGTTCGCTGTCCAACTGTCTCTCTGCCTGACCGTCCATTTGTCTCTCGCTCTTGTTGCTCTGTGTGTCCATCTGTCAGTCTGTGCGCCTCTGTTTGTCTGTCGCTTTGTTGGTCCGTGTCTCTGTCTGTCTGTCCGTTTGTCGGCATGCTCGCTGGCTTGTCCATCAGTTCATCTGTCTGTTTGTCTGCCTGTTCACACTCTGTCTGTCTCTCTGCCCGCCTGCTCATTTGTTTGTTGCTCTGTTTGTCTTCGTGTCTGTCTATCAGTCTGTACTGTATGTCTGTTCGTCTGTCCTTTTGTATGCCCATTCATGATCCATCTGTATATAATCTAGTATGCGTCGATCTTCGGGGATGAGCTAATCTCTTTTTCCTTTGCTTCTCTGTGTTTGTTGTTCAAGGATGATCTCATGCTTGTGCGCATCAGGATCACTGTTGTGAACAACAGTGACTCCACGCTCAATTTTCTTTGTTCGAAGTATGGCGGGATAGGGTCCGATGAGTGGTTTCCCCTTGCCCCTGCGCAAAGGGATACATGGATGCGCAGTGAAGGTGAACATATGCTCATTGCGATCAAGGAGAGTCGCGAGTATGTTTATTTTCAAGCTCGCAGCCGACATGTTCTCGTCGATTATTCTCCAAGAGAGGGATTCCAACTTTACTCCTCATGTGGAGTTTCGCCTGCCCATCGTCTACTACGGCTAGACACCGGTGTTCAGACGCCCTCCTCGTCTGGATCATGGGAAATTTGTAACTATTCCAAACGCGCAATTGGTGTGTTCATCTCGAAGTTCACGGATACCAATGCCTCGGATATTTTTTCTACTGTTGCTCCTGGATTGACTGCGGCTCAGGCTAGACCTCTCGATGGATGCGAAGTCGCCGTTATCAGCGATCTGCATCGACAAGCCTATGCTGCTCACTATGGTGTTCCAACGCGCATCGAGTGGCACGGATTTACCACGCGATCGATTGGGGTCTCGATCATAAACAACAGCGACTCGGAAACCAATTTTTTTTGCTCAAACTATGGGGGTGAGGGCTCGGATGCCACCGCCAACTGGCGTCCCCTTGCTCCTGGTGAAAGGGGTGAATGGACACGCATGGAAGGTGAGTATCTGCTCATTGTCGCTAAGGGGGTGAGCCATCATTTTATTTATATTCAAGTGCATAACAGCCCTGTTGTGGTTGGTTACTCTCCTCGAGACCAATTTAATATTATATCCTCATCGGGTGTGGTGACGCCTGCATCGCTCCTCGATCCCAGTCCGCCTGGTCACCCTTCACAATGGGAAGTGAGAAATTTTTCCAGCCACAGCATTTGTGTCTTCATCTCCAAGCACACCAATTCACATGGTTCGGACGAGTCTTTCACTATTGTTCCTGGATCTACCGAGGTGTGGGAGCGACCCTCTGATGGCCATGAAGTCATCGTTCTCAGAGATCCGCACAGAGAACTCTGTGCAGCTCATTATGGCACGCCTGCGCGTTTTGAATGGTGCGGGTTCACTATGCGACAGGTTGGCATCTCGATCATCAACAAGAGCCAATTCAGACACTGCTTCTGTGTCTCCGCTTTTGCTGGATTTGGCTCCGACGATTGGTTCCCCCTTGATTCTGGCAAAGGGGATGACTGGATGCGGTCGGAGGGCGAATATGTGCTCATTGTTGTCAAGGAGAGCCGCCAGTTCATCTATTTTCAGGTGCAAGGAATTCACGTCGATGTGAGTTATTCCCCTGCCCAGGGATTCATTTTCGCCCCCTCCCCGTATGTTACTCCTGTGAGACGGCCGTCTGCAAGTCCTCCGACCCGCCCTTCGCAATGGGAAGTCTGCAATTCGTCGAGCCGCGGCATTTGCGTCTTTGTCTCCAAGTACACCAACCCCAGCGGATCAGATCAGCCCCTAACTATTTCACCTGGATCCACTCAGACTTGGGACCGTCCCTTTGATGGCCACGAACTAGTGGTTATCCGAGATCCTCTCAGAAAACTCCGTGCTGCTCATTATGGTCCCCCGGCTCGCATCGAATGGTCTGGATTCGCCAGACTCTGATTTGATTTGATTTCTTTTGAGGGAATGGGCCTCGCCACACCACTCTCGAAATGTGAAAAAGACAAAAATGTGGCGGGTGCATCTGGTCATGTTCTTCCGAGAAATTCGTTCTCCTTATGTGTGGCGAGGCCCAATGTGTTATCCGTCCTAGCAAAAAACATGCACTGCCAGTAGTTTTGTCTTTCCTGTTTCCGGAATCCTAAAATACATGTTTTAAAAATTTATTTCCTTGACAAAAAAAACATGCATGCATCGTGGCGTGGAGAGAGTGCCGTAGACAGCGCCTTGCTCTTCAAGCAGCCGTCCCCGCCGTGTTCAAGGACCCCTGCCAACTTCGGATAGCTACCAGAAAATAAGCCTTAGGGGCTCACGCGCTCACCAGCCGAGTTAGTCGCTTCGGGGGCCCGCCTGGTAGGGTTTGGTAGGGGGTCGGATCCCCTCCCATCCATTGCCCGGGGTTAGGATGAAGCTGTGGTGGTGCTTAGACACAGGTGGAGGTCGGTGCCAAACCAACCCATAACCCTTAGGGGCCCCTGGGGTGGTATGTATAGATAGACTACAATCGACCAAGAAGCTAGCGCCTGGATTTAGGTACTTAAGTAGGAAGGACAGGTAGACTGAGGCATACGAGTGAAGACTATAGCTTGGTTTATCAAAAAAAAAAAAAAAAAAAAAAAAAAAAAAGCCGCGCGTGTGTGTGTGGTGAAAAAAAAAAAAAGGCTACAGTAGATCGTACGGGACATCTGGTAAAAGAGTAGCATGCCCTGTGCGGAAGGATGACAAACATAAATCAAGAAATTGGCAATTGAAAAGAAAAAAAAAAGTAGGCACCCATAGTATAGAATCTATAGATGCAATTACACACATAACTGCAGACGGAGAATTCTGCATTTGTCTGAGGACGTGCTGCCCTAAGGCTTTTGATGTGATTGCTGAAAACTCCAATTCTGAGTCGGTTTTGCCATGTTTTGAGAGGTATGTGGGTATAGGTATGTGATCGGCCGCGAATGTATGTATGACGTGTGCTTGCTAGAGTTGAAGTCCGTGTGCATACTCTGTTGGCTGTCTTGTGTGGGTGTGCCTCGGACAGGGACAAAGTACCAATTGGGCCAGGAGGAGGGACAGGACGGAAAGTTAGCATCCTTCAGGACATCCGTTAAAAAGATTGAAACGCTACAGAGAAGATTATCATAGCCCCTATGCAAGGATGACACACATGAATCGAGAAACGGTCCAATTTTTTTACTTAAAGAAAAAAAAGGGACGGAAAGTTAGCGATAGGCACATATTCGGCATAGAGTTCGATAGAGTAGAGACCAGGGTCAAAAGTAGGATTGCCATTTCAGAGGCCTGGTAGGATTTTCCAGCAGGCCCTCTACGCCTAGGAGGTTCCAGTTGATGTCAATACATAATGGTGGTCCAGGGGCTGAATGTGGTCCTGTAGAAGTCTGCTTCAGGGTCTGTAGGTAAATATCAGTCTGCAATGATGATCCCGGCCGTATCACGCAGCCAAAAGCAGGAACACCCAGCAGACCTACAGTCTTCACCCAACTAGAACGGCCGCGGCACTCATTATCCCTGTATCCAGACCGAACGTTGCCCTATATACAGCTCTTATGACCAGGGACATAAATAGGATGGAAAGTTAGTGGTAGGCATACTATTCAGGTGACAGTCGGAGTAGTCACAGGTAGTGCCCAGACAAGAGGTACTGGAGATCGGGCAGCCAAAGTATCTTAATCTATGCAATAGCCACTCTGCTCATTCAACAACCAGTCGTGCTGCTGCTCGGCCCAAGAAACTCTCGAACACAAACGTGACGTAAGATTCAAAGTAGGCGACAAAGTCTGGCTTTCTGCCAAACGCTTTGAACCTGAACAAGGCTTGTCCAAGAAACTCTCGAACAAGTGGCTCGGACCCTTCCCCATCGCAAGGCAACTATACTAACCGCCTGAAGTTGTTTCACATATAGTCTCTGAGGATCCTACACAGACATATGTTGGTTTCCTGCGGATTATGCCCATTACATTTCAGTAAGGTGAACTCGTACATGTATCAAATTTGACACACAAAACAAAGGGCAGAAGGCCAGAGCACGTTCCCGCATATAGTGAAACTTTATTTGAGCCTAGACAACCCAACTCACGTCTTTAAACCTTTGACAGATTTAAGAGGACTCAACAAAAAACCTCCCCCATCAACTACAAGCTCCAACTCCCTCCTGACATGAGTCGTGTCCACCCTATCTTCTGCGTAGAATACCTAAGAGAATACTATGAATCCCCACGGACCCCACCCCAATTCGCTGACAGCCCATATCATAGACTTCTACCAACCATGTTACCTACAGGCCCTGAATTTGTCACCGAAGCCATCATCGGAAGAAGAACTACTCAGGTATCTGACCACCCTGAACCAATCACAGAATACAAAGTTAAACGGGCATGATACCCTGACGAAGAATCCACATGGAAAGCTCTTGCCAACCTTAAGAACGCCATGAAACTTGTTCGCGACTATGATTGCGCCCATCCTATATCCTAGCTACCCACTATGCCTAAACCGTGCCTAAACCCTGCCTAAACTGTGCCTCAACACTGCCTCCCTGCGCTACACACATCGGATTCCCTGTACACAGCAAACCCCCGTCTGTCTGATCCGCTCTTGCCTCCGTCTCGTCCCGTCCTCCCATCTGTCCTCTGCCACATCTCTCTCTCTCTCTTGCCCAAATCCTACTTGTGGCCCCTGCACGTCGTCGGAGATAAAGGATCTAATGGCAAGCGCACGAGGATGATGGCATGCTGCAGCTCAGTACGAGGAGATAAGACAGCTGGTTGACCACCATACTGTTCCCTTTGGCCGGCACCATGGACTCGCAGACTTCTGGAGCCGCACCTTTGACATGGACATCAATATCAGTCTGCCACCTGCTATCTGGATCAGACCTCATCATCAGATCATGTACCGGACGCAACCTGCCACTGGGACAATTAAGCTCAAGCCCTCGCCGTCTACATCACAGAACAGCTGAAGACTGCTTCCTCACTGCCACTTCTGTGACACCCTCCAAGACCTTCCTCAAGACATTTTTTCGCTTTTGACACTTTGTTACAGGCCTGAGACGTTGTTTTCCCAGACCCCTCAGACACCCCAACACTTGAGCATTGAACAAACAATTTATTTTATTTTATTTTTCTCAAACCTGACAACCTATAACCTTGTAGAACACCAATAGAACTGCCCTGTTACTTGTAGAACCTCAATAGGATTACCCTGTTGCCTAAACATTGCTACCCTCACCCTTGTAGAACCTCAATAGGATTACCCTGTTACTTGAGCATTGGTTCCCTCATCCCTGTAGAACCTCAATAGGACTACCCTGCTACTTGCATTACTCCCTGAGTGGGGATCCGGGCCGCCCGGGTGATTGGCAGGGGCCCGGGGGAGGTCCTGGGCGGCCTGGCCGGGCAGGGCACCTGGTTGGGGGGCGGGCCCCCCCAGCGCACTCACCTGTAGGGGGGTTTCGGACTCCCTTTTGGCTGGTGTGTGTGTGTTTGTGTCTGTGAGTGTGTTGTGTGTGTGTGTGTGCGTGTGTGTGTGTGTGTGTGTGCGCGTGTGTGTGTGTGTGTGTGTGTGTGTGTGTGTGTGTGTGTGTGT